GTCTCAGCTGAACGTTACTGTCAAACAAAATGTAATACTCAGCACAAATTATCACAGTCTGTGTATAGTTCACAATGCTGTGTTTGGCTGAAGAGGATGAAAAGTAATGTTTATATTAATTAATAAGTTTATATTTACATTTTTTATTTAAAGGGGCGAGTAGCACAGTGGTCAAATGGTCAGCATGTCTGCCTCAAGGTTCGATTCTGGCTCCGGCCTTCTTGTGTGAGTTTGCATGTTCTTCCCGAGCCTACGTGTGTTTACTCCGGGTACTCCGGTTCCCTCCCACATTCCCAAAACATACACGGAAGGTTAATTGAACACTCGAAATTGTCCCTGGGTGTGATTGTGAGCGCGAATGGTTGTTCGTCTATGTGTGCCCTGCAATTGGCTGGCAAGCAGTTCAGGGTCCCCCCCGCCGACTGCCCGAAGACAGCTGGCATCGGCACTAGTATGCCCACAACCCTCGGATTCGAAAAAGGATGGATGGATGGAAGTTTTGTGTGCATTTTTAAATACCTACAAATCTTTCAGAATCAAAGGTTGTCTCAAGCTTTTTCCAGTAACATTAAAAATAATTAATCAGCGAAACAGAAAATGCAGCATTTCTTACAGGTCTTTGACTTCCAGCATAGCCTCCTGTTTACTGAGGTGCACCGCCTGCAAATCTCTGCGGTGTACGGTATGGTAATGCCTCTTCTGGAGTTCCGCTTCTGAGGCTCTGCCCCAGCACCTGTCCTGCAGGTAGCCCAGGGCAGCAGGTACTGTGACTGCCACCAAACACACTGACAACCAACCCACTGACAGAGGGGAAGAAAAGGCCAATTAGTAGCAGCCACTACCGACAGATGAAGTCTTAACTTACCTTCATTAATAGTGCAGAAGAAGACATTGAGGAATATACAAACAACCAGCGAGCACAGGGGCATCCTCCACCTGAAAAATAGAAATCATACTCTTCACAAGATGTCTCTCTGCTATTGAAAACAAGAGCTGTATAGATTGATCTTTAAATGGCTCGCAGGGAGAGTGAAACAGCTACATTTGAATGATGATGAAATGTTAACATTCTAAGACTGCATTACACCACCAACACCTTTTTTCAAACGAATGTTAAATGTGCGCTGAATGAAGTCAACTTGCTTTCAGTAACTCTCCCTTTGCCCTAACCTAAAAACATAATCTTTATGCATGATAGTTCTCAATGTTAAAATGTTACCTCAATCACTGCAGTTAATAAACATTTTATGAAGGCAACAGCTTGATCCCCAAACATACAAACTACTACTTGTTATGGGAATAGTCGTTTCCAAATCAGAGCAAACTGAAGGTCAACCAGCATTCCTGAAAAGTCTGTGTTCCAAACACACACCCTAGCAAGAAGCGGGCCAGCTCCATAGCATCTGTAACTGGTTCCAGAAAAAGCGCCATTCTCTTATAGGAGACAACCATGTTGAGGAGATCAAAGTTCAGTGTCGATCTTGGGCTTCCCAGTTCAGAAGCGTCTGGAGACCCCAGTGTCTCCTTGGATATGGTGTGCACCATTTCGCCCCTTTCCCCTGCGCCCTGGTAAGGGTCCGATGACGCCGCTGCACCATGCATCATAATCCTGTGCAGTTTAAGGAAATGAAAAAGATTAAGATGATGGTAATGGTGTCACTCCCATTCCTGAATTGCTACTGTGACTATGTTTTAGAATCCTGTAAAACCAGCAATGTTGGGCTGCTGCCACCATATGACACTATGTCACACCAGTTTTCATCCCGTACAGGGCGTAGGCTACTCATTGGAGCTAAACTTTTTAGACACCAGGAATATTGCTGATATGTGATCAATATTCATCTGTGATGATAATGCAATTGCTACATATGGCATTTGGGTCATAAATGGACACTTGGTACGCAGAACACACCTGTTCACAATACTGCACTATTTATGAATGTTTCAATCCATTAAGTTATTCACAAATTAGATCTTATAATTTTCTTGATCATTTCAGCAAATGTATATATTGCTCTATTGTAGATGTTAAGGGGTTGAATTCTCTGCCAAGCCTTTAAATATTCAACTGTCGGATCTCGAAGATAATACGCAACGTGGTAGAAGCATGTCAAAGCATTGAAATCATGACTAAAGTACATGGAGGAGCAATGTTTTTGGTATTCTTGAGATCAATATAAGATGGCAGTTTGACCCCTCAGAGATGTGGCAATTATTGTAGACGTTAAAGAAGCAATATGTCAACAAAGGTGTGATTTACTAACTTACATTTCCTTTAATATTAAAGCGTAATCATTGAGTAACTTGGAACAATAGGATCAAGCACTTCAGCACTACTCAGCAAGAAATTATGTTGTTGTAAAATGCGGATGAAAAGTCAAATATAGACCAAAAAATGTAAACTACGTGACTTTAATCTCGCTCGTTGATCCGATCATTTACCCCGAGCTACGTGTCCAAACACAGCAAATTTTAAGAACGGCAGCGGCTGCGAGAAGCTCAAGCGTCACTGGCAGGTCCGTCCGACATCGTAATCCTGGAGGAAGGAGAAACCTCCAACTTCAACGACTCAGGCAACATGACAGCATCGTATTGCATGAGCAATGACCTGTGCTAACGATTCATACTATGTCCTGTCTTTTTAATGTGCAATCCGGCTGTTTCTTCCGGCTAGTTATGCTAACTCCCTGTTGTAAGATTACGTTTCCTGTTATTCTAGGCTGAGCAATGGATCGTCGAAAAGTCACACATGACCAATATACTGTAGTCGATGAGGCGGCCATGAGTTTTACAGAAAAGATGGAAATTCAAAGAAAAGGAGTCGATACTGGTTGTGCAGTTATGCAGAATAAAACCATACAACTTTATCTGAGGAAAGATGAAAAACTGCAGTCTTTGTCTTGAGACAACATAGAGGAATGTAAACAAATTATTTCCACGTTTCCCAACGAGTCCACATTTTCTGACAACGCGCCTGCTCACAATACTGTACCCTGAGCATATGACAGTTCCTGCATGTGGCTAAAAAGAATATCACCGTAAACCACAATTTGAGCATTTTGGTTTATCACTCTCGCATATCCCAGATTCATGCTCATCTCCACACCTCCCGCATGTCTGCGACAACTTACAATATGCATCTTATATGACCATATTTTTGGCATCTATAACATCTGGGGCGATGAGGGCATACCCCCGTATCCTATGTAGCATAAATATCCAATATTAACTGAACAAGGCAATACATTGTCTTCAAACTCAATACAAACTCTCCACATTTTACCCTTTTTTCCACATTTTCATGGTCCATAAACTAACGAAGTTGCTCAAAATCTTCTTAAGGAACACCATAAATCACCCTTTACTCACCTGTCCAACATTTGTTTTCTGACAATACAATCCAATGCATCCTGATTTATATAGCGCTTTCACAACAGCTTCACCTCAAGAATCTCTTTTCGACAGTTAAGAACTTTTTTTTAACAACATCAACTGCCCATCACCAAGTACTCTTGGTTTTTTATTTCCTTTGTCTACCCGTCCCACCCTACTCAAGTCTTGTCCCCCTTTAGCCCTTTCAGGGACAGCGGTTACTACAGCAGACAGCTTATCATGTTATCAGGTGACAGGGTGCATGAAAGGGTTACATTTAATCAGCACGTTCGCCCCTTCTCCATGCAGCTTCCTTCACAAATAGCATTCTCTTCCGAACCACTCTCCTCACTTCCTTCCTCCATTATGCCTAACTTTCCAACCCATGTCCATTTGTTCCATACACTCTCCTGCTCAATTACCCAGAGTCCTCACAACTGTTTTGGATATTTTTTTAGACGCTATTTATATGTGGGTTCCAACATAGTTTTCCATCCATTACTAATCCAAGAAATTTATTTTCAGACACTCTATTTCATTTGAGTTCACCATCATTTTAACTTGGTGTTTGAAAAAAAAACAATTAACTTTGGTTTCTTTCAAGTGACAATTTATTTTTGTCAAACCAGTTTTTAATATCTTTAATTCATTTTCCACTGTTATCAGGAGCTGTTTCTGATGTGGCAATAAGGGGTGGATTAAGCCACATAAATCCCCACTGAAGGCCCAGGAAAATGCACAGCCTGCCACTTCATTTAACAATTTTGCTTTATTGAGTTCAAAATCAAAATCAAAATACTTTGACTTGAACATGTCAATCATCTTTGCAATTATGGCTTTTATAATGGTCAAGGTGGGCAAGTATCCATTCTGAAGGTCCAAGTGTGGCCAAAGTCAGTGAAGTCAGGACAAACACTGCTTCCTCACATTAAAAAAAAAGTAGTCAAGGAAGCCTTTCTCTTTTAAGGTGTAACACTAGCAGAGAAAATACAACAGCATGTTTGAAAATACCAACATCCTAACTTTATGATGAGGAGGTTTGTTCTGGATTAAGGTCGCCCGCTGATGAATCATCATGTTTGCACAGGGAGCCAAGACCTGCAGAACATTCCAAACATGTCCAATGGACAAATCAGTTGGTAGTTCACAGTTCTGAAGCGCTGCGGGAGATGATGAAGGCTGTGAGTGTTAGTTAAAACAGCTAAAACACACACACACCTGGTAAACAGCCTGTGTTTAATTGTGGTGCCTTCAAGCTCTGTCGGAACATGGCTGAGTTAAAGACCATGTGTTTTAATATTTTTTTAAATAGGTGAGAATTAGACCGTGCTACTGTACATACCATTCATCAGTATAGCTATCTATATAAACTAACCTTGATAGGTTGCTTGATTGATTGACTGATTTATTTAAGAGCGCGCACACACACACACACACACAATATATATATATATATATATATATTGTGTTATATATAAATATATGGAAAATTAAATCTTTAAATTAAGGAAATTGAATCACATTATTAATGATCAGTTGTGTTATGTTTTACTTTGGGAGAATCATCATCACGTATTCGTGAAGGGGTACTTATGGAATGACAAAAAGGTTTTTGTTACAAGCAAAAAAAAAAGAAAAGGTTAGGAATAATACTAGCCGCGCCCCTCCAGGACGAGGCTCTCAAAATCAGGAAAGCGGACTCCACCGTCAAGAATTACAAATGCAAATGACTCAATTTCATCGTAATGACAAAAGCCGACTACAGACTGCAGGCTTTTCAGGAACACCAAGGACCTCTTTTTCGGACACTCTTAACGTCGGAGGGCGTCACCCGAGCTGGTGCTGGCCTCGCTTCCTGGTCCCGAGGAGGAGGCGCTCGCAAGCAATTTGACGCGACACTTGAAGAGGTTCGTTTTGGCCAACAACACGTCCGTGGGCAACAAACACCTCCTTCGGACCACCATGTCCGCAGAAATTTCGTGTGATCGAATGCTGTCAAGTTGGAGTCCTGATCCTCTGTATCGTGCCATGGAAGTCGGGAGGTAAACAGCGAACGAGTGAGTTGCTTCGATAAAAGAGGGTACTGTACACACATAGAGCCTGTATTGTATTATTTTAATTTGGTTAAATCCCCGTTAAAGACCTATATGTTAGAATCGCAGTTATAAGCTCCTTGGTTTTATTTTACTCGAAATGTCAATTGTGTTGTCTAAATAGCAAAAATACATTTTAATGCAATAAGCAGTCAGCCAAGGTCAGTCGAAATACTCTACATGTACTGTATATTAACTGGCATTCTCTATCTGTGATGATTAATCATATGACATTCCATATTAGCTCTGCGTTTATTTCAGATCGCATCCATCCATTCATTTTCTAATCCACTTATCCTCACAAGGGTCGTGGGCGTGCTGGAGCCTATCCCTGCTGTCTTGGGACAGTAGGCGGGGTACACCCTGAACCGGTTGCAAGGCAATCCCAGCACTATGTAAGTCCCCCTTTTGAGATTTGAACCCAGGACTTCAGGTTCACAAACCCGCAATTCTATCGTCTCTACTAGCAGAGAGCTTATTTCAGATCCCCAATAACAGATTGTTCTTCGAATGGTGGCATTTTTTTTTTTTAACTATATCTTGGACACTTGGGCAGAACATCACCGATTGACTTTGTGGAAACAATATTCCTAATGCTAATCATTGCTAAAAATGACTTACAGTATGAATGCTTGTTTGTAACTGCCCGGGATTGATTGGCGACCAGTCCATGTTGTCACCCACCCCCGACCTCCCACTCGCCTAAAGTCAGTTTAGATACACCCAAGTTACCCGCAATTCTAATGAGGGTAAGAGGTTTACAACACCCTCTGTTAAAGCAGAAGTAGGGGACTTGAGACAGATGTCAGGGTGGCTACAGGTTTGTCAGGGCGAGGCAAGGCAGCTTTATTTATACAATACATTTGGTCCGGATAATGGATGGATGGATTTCATAAACAAAGCATCTCAGTGTGCTTCACACAGGCAAAGACATGACACCTAAAAGCATTTAAAAACACAACGGCTATCAACATTGAGAAGAAGAGAGAGAGAAAAAAAGAACATACGTTGACAACATTAAACACATAAACAGAAAACTTTTAAAGCATGTAGAACATTTACAAGTAAAGAAACCAACGTAGATTTCTAAAATTACTAAAAGACCATACTGTGAACTCAATTTTAATATTAAAAAACCTTATTCAGAGGTACGGGAAAAAAGCAAATTGATACTTTTAGCGTGGATCAATTACATTTGATCATAAATGCGTAGATTTAAAAGACATGCCAGTATTCTCAATCTGTCTAGTGACTCTAGTCCATTTATCATTTTCATCTGTAGGCCTGTGACTATCATACTGTTATGATCAATCCAGTATAGTGTACAGTTTAAGGTAAAACAGGTTATCTTGTGTAGTGACTGTGCAAAATTATGTCTTGACTATGACTACGTATGACTTGCCTAACCCAAGTGATGACTTGCTTGAAATTTAAGGGGGACTTGACTTGCCAGACTGTAACTTGGGACTTGCTTGAAACTTGATGGTTAGGATTTGCGACTTGCTCAGGACTTTCAAAATTGTAACCTACTCCTGCCTCTGCAGAGGTTTAAAGCAGAAACTTTAAAGGTACTGTACCAGCCCAGTGACAAGCCATTGTACCGGTACCAAAATTATGCATGTATTTTACAATTTTTGTCTTGAGCGTGTGTAAGTGAATCTTAAAAGATGTATAGTGTGTATTGTTGGAAGTCAGGCTTCAGTCATTCAATTGTCCCTATGCATTCTACCCCAGCTGACTGGGCACCGCCATGGCCCCTGCAAGGACTTGGCACCTCTGGGCCCACTGCCAGGACAGAATGTCCTCTGCACCAGACCAGGAGAGGGAGAAATTCTGGGAGGAGCTGTTTGATCAGCTGGATCTCAACAAAGATGGATACATTGACATACATGAACTTCGTAAAGGGCTAGCGGGTCGAGGGCTATCCAGAGCTTCGCTGGAGAGGGTAAGACCTGCACTCACCTGCACTACCATATCATGCAGTTGCAATGAAGTATGAAGGGGAAAACCAGCTAGTGATTGAATTAATGGAGCTTCCATCATTTTGTTTTCCAACTTAATAAATGAGTGTGCAGTTCTTTTGCTCTGCAGCAGTTGCGCTCACCTCAAATGATTTCAGTCTTCAGGTATTTAAATGTTTAAAGTCCCTCTAATGTGAAAATAAAAATGCATTTTAAATATATATGTATATTTTTGTTTTTGCTGAATTCACTCCATAGGATTTTTAATCGTAACAACATAAGCAGCTCACCTTAACTCATTCAGTACCAGCCAATTCTGGACCAAGTCTAAAAAGACGTTTAAAAACGTCTTTGGAAGTGAATTAATATTGTGTACACATTGTCTGTCTCTGTCTTCTTCCATATTTGTTTTGGTCAAAGCATGTGGGTCATATAGTTAGTTGGCTGTCACTTCCACAGTGTGTGCATTTGTGTGCAACATGATGTCTATTTTGGTTGCGTGGAACAAGACTTTGTAAGATGAGAATGGCAAACTACCATGGTGACAAACCACCAGTGGCTGCCAGCGCTCCACTGCCCTTGACCGCAAAAATAATAATTTCAATAAATTCAGGATTTTAAAACGTGTGTGTTTGAATTTTTCTTTTCGCCATGAGTGAGTGTTTAAAGGAGAAGTCAAGTCAAAAATTGTCTTCACAATAATTGGCCTTAATTTGGTAGCCAGGCGTTTGTGCGTGTGGTATAAAAATGAGTGTGTCTTCATTTTGGTGTTGGGACAAGTTTAGTATCGTGTGTTTGGGACCGCGTTGCGCCTCACTTGGGGTTCCAGCACATGGAGCTGCCGTGCCCGACACACCTGACAATTGGGTCACAAAGTAGTGTAAAAACAGGCACAACTTAATTTTCGTGCTGGGGCAAGTTAGTTTCGTGTGATTGTGAGTGAATTTGGTAGACCGCGCTGCTTGTCGCCAGTCGGCGCATCTGCCAATTTCATGAAAAAAGGGAGCCAATTTTAGACTACCTGTTACTAAAACCACATCTTTTTTGTTACTTGTGGCACATTTTGGGAGAATTGTCCCCCCTGATTTTTTTTCAAATTCGATGTGGTGAAACTGGGGTCACCAACCTTTTTGAAACTGAGAGCTACTTCTTGGCTACTGATTATTGCGAAGGCCTACCAGTTTGATACACACTTCTGAAATAATGACTCCACTCAAATTACCTTCAGTAATGTTCTTATTATGTTATTGTTAATCATTCATGATTTTAATTTATGTGAAGATATTGAACATGTTATTAATTTCACACATTAACTAGGAAACACTTTATTTCTATAAAACTCTGAAAGTGTTGAGACAAGTTTTTTCAAATCACACACAATCACAAATAAATCACAATGTCTCATTATTGGTGAGCTGTTTTCCGAAGTGGCCAGTGGGCTACTCTTCTGGTCCTTGGGGGCTACATGGGTGTCCATGACCTTTGTGGTATAACCTCGGGGATGAAAGTTCCTCTCAAAGCTCCCAGTGACAGCAGTTTATTGACCCATTTTCAGACCCAACTGTCTGTGTTTTTAGATTGTAAAAGCAGGAGACACCAACGAGGATGGAGTGCTTGACTTTGAAGAATTTACTCAGTACCTTCGCACCCATGAACAGCAGCTCAAAGTCATGTTTCGCAGCCTGGACAAGAACAATGATGGTCTGTGGCAGCCCGCTGAACATATTTTAATCACCATAACGGGCCCCTTTGCTTTAAAATTCACATATGCCACTTCTGTTACTCTATATATCTGGGTGGTGACATCAAGGTGAGATTGATGCAACGGAGATCCAGCAATCTCTCCATGCTGTTGGCTTAGACATCAGTCTCAGGGCTGCTACCAGGATTTTGCAAAGGTCTGTAACCGATGTGTCACGATTACAAAATCATGAACATGGTCTCCACTGCTTTCATATAAGTACACTCTTGACTGCACAACGTTATGTTTGATCTTGTTTTTAGCTGTAACGTAATTGCGTTGGTTTTGTCGTGTTTTTTTTACCTGTGTCGTTCACTGTGTCTTACAACTTTCAAAGGTTTTCAAGGCTTTTATTTACATATATGATGAACGTCTTACTTTTGTTTCTTAAAACTGACTATTTTTCCTGCTCTGTTGGTTTAGTGCTGTACCCGTATATTTTCATGTTGGCACTGTTCTGGTAAAGCACTGTGGTGTTTTCGATTCCATTTCCACTTATCTCCCTCTTCACTCAAACCTTGTTTATGTTTATGTGTGCGTCAACCAGTATAGACAAGGATGGGACCATGACCATTGACTGGAATGAGTGGCGGGACTACTTCCTGTTTAACCCAATCACAAACATGGAGGAAGTGGCGCGTTACTGGAAACGTTCAATGGCAAGTCTACACACATTGGAAATATAATATAAAGAGCTCAATGATTTTTAGAAATCAGTTAGGCTTGATGTATTTGAAAGCTTCCAAGGCAACGCACATTCCTTGCACCTGAAAATAACAATGGAAATGTTATTGGCATTTTTTTGGAAACAAAAAAAATATCAAAATGTAATCCCTGCCTTTCTCAGATGTTGGATTTAGGTGAGCAGATGACAGTTCCAGATGAATTTTCAGAAGAGGAGAAAAAGTCTGGCTATGTGTGGCGGCAACTGATGGCAGGAGCCTTGGCTGGATCCATATCACGGAGCGGAACGGCTCCCTTAGATCGTCTCAAAGTATTTCGGCAGGTCAGTCAGTCGCGTATTAAAGATCACTCTTATTTACTGTTCATTGTCAATAAGTTTCACACATGGAAACATCTTCATTACATGCTTTGGCAGGTTCATGGTTCCTCTCTGTTTAGTGGGAATGTGCTGGGTGGTTTTCAGTACATGATGAAAGAGGGAGGAGCGCAGTCCTTTTGGAGAGGCAATGGAATCAACGTTCTTAAAATTGCCCCAGAGACTGCAATCAAATTTACAGCTTATGAAAAGGTGAATAACACTTGCATCCTTTCCCTGTTTGTATTCAGTGTCTCTGAACAAATTTTAGCACAAAGGTACAAGAACTATTTTGTACGCTTTAGTTTGTCAGTTTGCTCAAAGTAATACATAAAAAGTATATGACTCATCTCCATGTAATATTGTGGTGAGATTGTGCATATACCCACCAACATTTTAAGTAAATTCTCTAATCATCAAAAAAATGACTAGAGATTAAAAAAATAATTCCCATCATTTTGGCATGCTCACTGCACCGTATGCTATGATATGTTTTACTGGTAAAGCATTTCCAGAATCAATTTTCCCCCAAACCTTGTTTTAGAGCTGTATGTTCTTTTGTTCAAATTTTGACTGAGGTCCGTGCTCTCCTGAGTGTCATCGTTTTAATGGTCATGGTTTTAATGTTTGATTGACTCTTGTTCATTCCATCTTTAGCCAGGGCTATACTCCATACTTTGTATAAATGGATCAATTGTGTTCCTTTTGTTTGTTTTGGTTAACTACCTTGTTTCTAGATCAAGCACATAATGTATGGCAGAAAAGATACTAAAAATCTGAGGGTTCACGAGAGATTTCTCGCTGGCTCGTTGGCTGGTGCGACTGCTCAGACAGCCATCTACCCACTGGAGGTGATTTCAAGTCATAAGACACATCCTCAAGACAATAATTGACAATGTATACAGTAATTTTCTGTACGTTCCCTTTCTTTGTGTCCATCGCTTTCTTTTTCCTTGGCAGGTGCTGAAAACCCGACTCACGCTTAGAAAAACAGGCCAATTCTTAGGAATGTCTGACTGTGCCAAGCAGATTCTGCAGAAAGAAGGCATTGCAGCCTTCTACAAGGGTTATGTGCCTAACATGATGAGTATTGTGCCTTACGCCGGGATTGACCTGGCAGTCTACGAGGTCAGGTGGACATCATGGTAGCATCTGTCTACGGGACACTCTCTGTACATGTGGTTTATTTCTTATAACTTGGTATCCATTCCCCAGACACTAAAGTTCGCATGGCTAAGTAGGAACAGAGGAGTTGCGGACCCAGGGGTCATGGTCCTGGTTGGCTGTGGTGCAATCTCCAGCACCTGTGGGCAGTTGGCAAGCTACCCTCTTGCACTCATCCGCACCCGAATGCAAGCTCAAGGTTAGGTGAACGGAGTACAGCAAATATCATATCTTCCATGGAATGCTGAGAATGTTGTTGTTAAATGCATTTCAGCCACAATTCAGTATATATACACCGTGTTCCAAATTATATGCAGATGAAGTATTTTTTCTGGATTTCTCAAATAGTCGATGCAAATGACAGTTGGCATCATTTTCAAATGCTCAACAGTGACCGTTAAAGTCATATGTCAGATCAGTGGTTCTTCACCTTGTTAGAGGTACCGAACCCAACCAGTTCATATGCATGTTCACCGAACCCTTCATTAGTAAAAAATAAAAAATACATTTTTTTTTTTTTTACAAATTCAAGACATAAAAAAAAAAAAACACATTTATTAAAAACAGAAAAAAGTACCGGTAAATAAAATTAAATGGCATAACTATAGGGTTTTTAAACTGTATGACTTACAGTCACACGGTGACTACTGAGAAAACTAAACTTGCCGCAGCACTGATTGGACAAGCCATGTAATGTGATTATCTACAGCCAGCGATGGACAAGCGGGCATGTCATAACTAATTGGCAACTTGAATCGGGTGTGTCTTAACCTCCATGGCAGAGGCTCCGTCGAACCCCTGAGACCGATTCACCGAACCCCTAGGGTTCGATCGAACCCAGGTTAAGAAGCACTGTGTTAGATACATGCTGCTCCAATGGAGCACAAAACATCTTTTGCAGTAGTAGGTGAGGTTTTTCATTGAGATTTCTCTCTCTCCTTTAGTCTCAATGAAAGGATCCACTAAGCCATCAATGACCACCTTGATTCACACCATTTTGACCCAAGAGGGTGTGGCCGGCCTGTATCGAGGAATTTCCCCGAATTTGCTGAAAGTCATCCCCGCTGTCAGCGTGTCATACGTTGCATACGAGTACACGAGGATAGCTCTGGGAGTGGATGTGGAGGGTAGGCGGGGAGCGAAAGGGAAGGTTTAAAAATGTGCGGCTGGTTTGATGTGACTTCCCTCTGCAAGATCTGTTAAACCTGCACGAAGAAGTGGACTTTGGTGGTGCATAGATTCACAGTCCCATGACTGCAAGCCTTAATGGACAAATACTAAAAGTGATATTACTCACTCCCCTGCCGTTGGATGACCTCACAAGAACATAGAAGATGTGTGAGTTCCATTGCACTGCATGCACTCAGTCATTGTATCTGCATTCATATTTACACGTGACGACTTGCATGAACTGACCTGAGAACCAGCACGTGCACCGCAAAGGGGTTGTGTGTCTCCAAACGCAAGAGGGGTTTCTCAGCCTTTTTTTTTTTTCTCCTCACAGGGGTAATGTAGAGAAGATAGACGACTTTCAAGAGCATTGTTCCACTGTCCGAAGGTTCAACTAAGTGTTTTAGTTTGTGGACTGAAATGTCTTAAGCAGAATGACGGAAACACTGACTGCACAACAGTGAACAGTCAAATAATAAATGTAGAGTCAGATAATGTTGATTTGTGGTATTACAACCAAAACAAAAAAAAAAAAAAAACCTCACACTTGCACTGGTCACGTCTGGAGACGATGTCTCACAGCCTCTTTCCAATGTCGATTTGCAAGTCAAAGAGATTGAGTCAGCTTTTAAAAACACTACAGTGTAAATTGTATTATGGCCTTTACAGTACCTCCTCTCATTTTTAAAATACAAAGATTTTAAAACTCTGTTGGAGTAAAGATGAGCATGATTTTTTATTTTTCCAATGAATACCTTCTGTACCTATATTTATGTTTCAATTGTTATATTTATAATAAATGCAAATGTGGATTTATGTCTTTTTAATTACCTTATATCAAATGTCATGATGTATATCGGGTGTTGGCCCATTTGGTTCATTTTATATACAAAGGGTCCTTTGCTTTATCATGAAGTTCTGTTCCATCGTCAGGGGCAATCGGATCAAATCTGTATAGTCTATCACGAACCGACGCAAACACATAAGTGAAATCATAATTACAATAAAGATTTGCATGAAAACATCTCGAGGCTTTAAACAAAAAACAACCAAATGCAATCTATCCAATATATTGCAATATATTATACCGGTACACATAGATCATATCTTTGAGGTCTACAGACAATTCCTTGGACTTCATGTTTGATTTGTACACTAGCATGCATTGTCTACGATGCAACATAGAAATGTCGGCTTTTACAAATCAATCAACTGACCACATTTTTACAAGTGGGTTTCATTTGACCTCTAAACTTGAATGTCCAACTGCAATGTTTTCATTACTTTTTTGCACAACTTCGTGTGGTCTGACAAAGAGCGGCTCGGCAAGTTCCCAACAGGTGTTTAATCCAAGAATGGCTCAATATACATTATTTCTTGGTTCAATTGGAATTGGTATTAAAACAGTCCCCTGCATCATGCTGTCTACATTTTGGCACCAGGAGACCAAGACAACACCAAATAATTGGTCGAAAGTACCTCGCGATTGTGAGGCTTCAAACAGGATGTGCTCAGAGGGAAGTGGACACTGAGCTTTGAGTGTCACAAGGTGTTATCAGCACGTTGCAACAGAAATACAGAGAGGCTGGAAGAGTCACAGAACCGCACAAAAGTGGACATTATTTAAAATGTAGACCTATTTGTCGCTTCATTGATCAAACATCTGGAGTAAATTTTGTCGTCAAGCCTTTTGTTATCAAGCCATTTGGAGAACTTCAAATTGTGTAAAAAGTACTCAAACACTGAACAATGTGAAATAATAAACTTTTCTCGATATTCAAAGACACAAATGAATGTAGACCTAAAATAGAGCATAATTTCTCTTCCTAACCATGCGAAGAACAAAGATAATTCCGTTTCATAAACTGCCAGCTGCGGCTCAGTGGAGGGGGCAGATCTATACTTGTGGTGGCCTGCTTCAATATGGTAACCCAAAAGAGTTAAAACAAAATAATTACAGCGAATTATTTTGTAATAGCGTCATGGAAGACGACTGGTTGGCATGTTCGCCTCACAGTGCAGAGGTTGTGGGTTCAAATCTGAGCTCCGGGCTTCCTGTGCGGAGTTTGCATGTTCTCCCCATGCCTGCGTGGGTTTTCTCCAGGTACTCTGGTCCCCCCCCCACATTCCAAAATCATCCATTGTAGGTTAAAGGGAACATTGTAAATTGTGATTGTATGAATGTTTGTTTGCCTATGCGTGCCCTACTATTTGCTGGCACCAGTTCAGGGTGTGCCCCGCCTACTCTGAAGATAAGCTGCTCAGATAATGGGTGAATGGATATTTTGAAATAAATGCCATTTTGATAAATAACAGACAAATGACTAGGAACATTTACGATATGATAACATCATTAGGAAATATTTTCTTACTATTCCTATAAATCTAATAATAATAATGTTTTTACAATGTATTTTTTAAAATAATACGTTACTCATTTTCCAAAGTTTTACAAAAAAAAAACGTTTCAATGTGATTGGCCACAATGGCCGTTTTTTCAGCTCAATGACTTAGTGCGTCAATCAAATCACATAAGGCGGAGCCAGTTAAGGGATTGGCTGATTCTTGACACAGACGTGAGCAGCCGCACTTGCATCATCGATTCAAGCGTGAAGAACCCTTCGGGACATGAGACAGAATGGCCGCAGGAGACGTCAATTTCAAAGTTTCTCAGAGAAGTTGCAAACCGCTTGGATAGTTGGGGATACAAGTTTTTATCTGAGCCTGAGAGAGGATTGCAGCAGCAGAGTGTTTTGGATGAGGTGGTGCCTTTAAAATATAAATTCACCTAACAGTCCAGCCTCGATGCGATCAAATGCTCAAGCTTTTGGTCACACTCAGAAGTTTATCCATCCATTCATCCATCTTCCGATCCGTTTAACCTCAAATGGGTCTCGGGGCACTCAGAAGTCCAACCTAGTAAATGTGATTGACAGGCCAAGTTATTCTTGTGAAAAACAACATTATGTCAAAAAAAAGGCCATTGTGGAAAAGCACACTTTGTAAAAAAAAAAAAAAAAAATTAAAAAGTCATCATTTTTTAAAGTATGACATTGTTAGAATAAACATTACTTACTTAAGTCAGAATTCTGACTTTAAAGTGAGAATTCTGAAAATAAAATGAGAATTCATAAATAAAAGTGAGAATCTTGACGACCTTTTTTTTTTCTTCACAGGCCCTAATCCTCTAACGTTAAGTATGTCAGGTGAGTCTTTGTTAATCTATGGCAGAAATGTATAGTGACATGTAGAATTCATGAAAAGTGAAGGTGTACTTTTTGTAACTTGTTTGGGTGCTGTGCCTTAAATATTTTGTCTTTTTTTCTGCCATGGAAGACGGCGTCTCGCGCTGGCGTCTGTTGGTTCCACTCCAGACCAGGAGGTGACGCAGTTTTGAGGCGTTGACATCAGATCTCTAAAGAGAGGAAAAAGGCTGAGAAAGGCCGGACCGGGGAGGGCAGAGGCTAGCGTACATTGATTGGTTATTTTAAGCAGGGAACTTTGCCGGCGTGGTAAGCGATCTCCCTCACATTGGCGTTCTTGCGTCGCTCAACACAAGCTTTGGCCTACCCGCTTCAGCGCAGCCCGACCCGGCCAAAGCCACACGGCCTGCCCCCCGTGTGTCGTTCCTCCTTAGTGTGTGATCACCATGTCCGACTTCGGCTCTTTGCCGACTAACGGCGTCGGCGCCGGAGCGAAAAATGATGCTTTTGCGGACGCAATGGAAAGAGCCAGACAGGTAACGCGTAATAATCGTACGCTGCAGGATGCAACTGTCTAGCCATTTAGCTTCGGTCGTAGCCGATAGCTCGATTAACCCCGTTGTTAGCTTCAGTTGACTAGCTAGGTGGTAGCGATATGCCACCGGCAAGTGAACCCCGCTATAAGGCGCCGGTTGTATTGTGACCTAAACTGAATCCAAATTACAATTTGGACTGTCGTGTTTTGAGTAGATCGGGCGTGAACTCCAGAATCCTAGTCATTTTATAGATTTTCCCTTCCATCTGGTTTGAGATATATATATATATATATATATACTTGACTAGCTAGGTGGTAGCGATATGCCACCGGCAAGTGAACCCCGCTATAAGGCGCCGGTTGTATTGTGACCTAAACTGAATCCAAATTACAATTTGGACTGTCGTGTTTTGAGTAGATCGGGCGTGAACTCCAGAATCCTAGTCATTTTATAGATTTTCCCTTCCATCTGGTTTGAGATATA